ATATGGGGCTGTCGGAAATAAAATGGCCTACACTCACAGGGGTCGATCTGAATTTGTGGGGCCCTGGACTAAAACTACTAAGCCTACCTAATTATATTACTTAAATAAAAAAATACACCGACCAAAAACAAGCGACCAGAAATTCCCCGGTCCTTTCGATAGGTTGCCAACCTATGATAATTTTTTTAATATTCTAGATATTTTTTATATTCGAAATATCATTTTAGTGGGACTGGGGGCCCTTTGTATCCTCGGGGGCCTGGGCTGCAGCACAAAAAGCCCTTAGGTAGATCCGCCCCTGTACACTCACATATAAATAAAATTGTTTATAATATTGAAGTTTTTTACTACATGCATATAAATATAAATACGGTACATACACCAAAAAACATTTTTTACAATTGTCTGTCTGTCTGTTTGTTCCGGCTAATCTCTGAAATGGCTGGACCGATTTGACGGGACTTTTATTGGCATGTAGCTGATATAATAAGGAGTAAGTTAGACTACTTTTATTTTAGAATAATAAAGTTAAATTACATGCGGACGAAGTCGGGTGTACAGTTAGTAAAAAATATATATCTGATACTGGGAAGGGGTCTCTATGCAATGTGGATTAATAACCTGATACCCTCCAGCGGTTACCCCTGGAAAAAATCATATTAAATTCCTGGTGAATTTCTCACTATGTGCTAACTGACCTGACCTCATGTTCATCTGATCATCCTCCACTGGTGCCCCGCCAGCGTAAACCGCTAGCGCAGGCGGGTGCACCATTACATTATCTAAAATTTTAGATTCTAAAAACAAAATTGTCTCTTCCTTGAACCTCTCTTTTGAAGTTAGTTAATGTATGTAGTTGGGACCGCGGGGGCGTAGTCGAGGCTGCCAAGTGCGGAGGCTGCAGTGGCGGAGGGCGGGGCCAGATCCTGCTAAACTAGCATTTGAACAAGGCTAGAAACTAGCAATGTAGGTTTAAAAACCTCGATGGTCTTGTTGTTGAGCGTACTGCTTTATCTAGCATTGTAGGTTCGATTATACGCAATCATTTGCAATAAATTACATCACATAAAGTTCAGTAATATGCCTTCCTCCAATATATAGCGTATTGTTATATATCTTAAAGCCTTCCTCGACAAATGGACTATCCAACACAAAAAGATTTTTTCAATTTAAACCAGTAGTTCCTGAGATTACCACGTTCAAACCAAAAAAAACTCTTCCGCTGTATAATATTAATAACTAGCTAATCTCCCCAGCTTCGCCCAGATGTACATGTATTATACATATAAACCTTCCTCCTGAATCACTCTATCTATAATTATATATAATTATATTTAACTTTTTGCCTTGCACAACCACATTGTGGAATCACCTTCCAGCAATGGTATTTCCGAACCGATACGATATTGAAACCTTCAAGAAAAGAGCTTATTCTTTTTTAAACCTGCAATTCCCCTGGTGTTGCGGGTGCTCATGGGCGGCGGTAATCACTTACCATCAGGTGAGCCGCACGCTATTTGTCCCCTGTATTATAAAAAAAAAAATTATTAAAAAAATCCAAAACGGTAATAAACAGGTAAGCAGATAAATCGTTAGTCTGCCTTTCACATGTCGTGTTGTGGGCGAACCAGATATAACTCAATAATTATTTAAATAATCCTAACCTACTTAATTAGACATATTGACAGGTATATAACTATGTAATATTTTAACTAGCTGGGTACAACTAGTTAAAATAACAGCGACTTCTTAATACGCGTGGAATTTAACTTTATTTTTCTTAAATAAAAGTAACAAAGTTACTCCTTATTACATCAGCTACCTGTCAAAAAGAGTCCCGTCAAAATCGGTCCAGCCATTTTTGAGCTTAGCCGGAATAACAGACAGAGAGACAAAAATTGTAAAAAATGTTATTTTGGTGTATATACCGTATTTATATTCATATGCATGTAGTAAAACGGTTATTTCAATATTACAAACAGATACTACAATTTTATTTATATGCACGATTATGTGCTGTGCTAACGATTTACCCTGGTGGGGCACCAATGGAGGATGATAAGATGAACAAGAGGTTTTTTTTTTAATTGGGGGTTTTGAGCTATTGTCAAGTGCTAACACCTGTAGCACATAGATCTATTGTGCTCGCCTTTTTTCAAAGTTCGCTACCCGTCAGTGACAAGAATTGAAGGATATTCTTAGGAGCGATGGTTTTTATCCCCTCAGGATCGAGTGTAAAATTTCCAAAGGAGATATTTCGTTTATACATGAGAGGGCTACAACCACATAGGATGTGTAGTGGCGTTTCCTCTAGAGCAAGAGGTTAGATTAGTTAGCCCATCGTGACAATGAATTTATCATGGTTTCTAGAAACTAGAAATGTCATATTTATTCATATTCAATCAACAGCCTAAAAAATAAGTTTCCAGATTTTAGCTTTATACAAGACGATCCTTACAAAAAACTTTCAACTCCCCTTTTAATCTCATACAACCCTTTTTTCGTATTAAATAGTAGTATCGCATTTCAGGATCTAGACTAGAGTTGTCAGATTTTTTTTCAGCCTATAAGGGGCAAACGCGAGTTTACTCGTGATCATGGTGGTTTTTTTTTAAAGGATAATAATGGAATGGAGCTCCCGCCTGCGCTAACGGTTTACGCTGGCGGGGCACCAGTGGAGGATAATAAGATGAGCATGAAACCAGATCAGTTAGCCCAACGTGGCAAATTCACCGGAAATGTATCACAATGGTTTCCAGGGGGAACCGCGTGGAGGTCAACCTGACATGGTACATTGTTAGCAATGGGATCTTTAGTCCACATTACTAACAATCCACTTCCATGATCATGGTGGTTGAAACACTGCCGAAATATCGGGAACTCAGCAAATAAATATAAAACGTGAATAGCAATAAAAAGGGCTAACGCTAAAATAGGCAAAAACTGGGACAATTTATCAAAAGACAAATTGTCCAGCGTAAATCGATCGATTTAATCCGCCGGGACATTTTAAACCGAGCCTAAAATACAGGACGTGTCGAGAAATACGAGACGTCTAGCAACGCTAGTCTGGACTATCTGTTTACTAAACTTCATTTAAATAAATATTTTTCTCTCAAGGTTAACATACAAATCATAGGTATAACATACATCGAGTCAAATTCACGGTGAACATAATCATCTTATCATCCTCCACTGGTGTCCCGCCAGCGCAAACCGTTAGCACAGACGGGTGCACCATTATTATCCATAAAAAATATTACATCAATTTCTCAGGTACTTCCTACTTCAAATCAAACACCAATACTATATATTTCTACTTTATCTAACTATCTAACCTAAATAAATGCTGTAACCAGACAATTAATTCTCTAACTCAATTTTAAACATTGTCATTGACCATCAATTACTTTAAATATATAATACCTAGTCCCTATTTCAATTAAAGAGTATGTCATTGTATTTTTTCCGCCGGCCGGCATTTTGCAACCGAAACAACTGCTGCCAGAGTACCAACATAACCAACAGAAACACCTGTGACTCAATTAGAAGATAAATTACGTTAATCGGGATAATTATAGTTCTAAGTAAGTAAATATGGCAATAAAATACTAAAATAGTTTATAACTATTAAAATATTTGAGTTTATCAGTTTAAATATTTTATTAATACTGAAACGAGGTCACTACTTTTAGTCATGTTGGCTACACTGCTGTCAATATGGCGTCCCCCTCCCCTCTCACTAGGAATGTGCCACAATCAGTTCGCCGTATACTATCGATATCGACGTAGAAAAAAAATGTGTGTGTATATACATATGTAAATTATAATCATAAAGCACACGTAGCTCACATTAAATATATTGTATTGATTTGTTGTAATTAATAAATAAAATTTGATTGACATAAATTCCCTTAAAATTTGGCAAAGTCGCAAAATATTAATGAATCTTATGAAACTTATAATTTTGATTGTATCAGAAATGAAAAAAAGAACACTATTTACTAATGAATAACTTAAAGTCTATTTGGAAGTTATTTAGTACTCGTAATTTTGGGTAAATACTTAAAGTTTTACAAGGCAATTTCAAAGAAACAAAGGTAACATCAAAACAATGAACATTTTTTTATTAGTTTTGTTGTATGATAATTAGAATTTCTTATTGCCAGACAACCAACATTACAATGTTTTTTCTATAGTTATTTAATAGCATTCTCCAATTAGATCTACATATTTTCCGCATAGTGATCTGTCTTCTTATAACGATTACGAGATATTTTCGATATGTCTTTTCAAACTAAGTGACAAAGTAACTTGTTACTCAAAATTGACAGATTGACATCAGATTTACAATATCCCATTGATGGAAAGAAAAGAAAATAATTTTTCTTTGTTTTTTTACGGAAACTGGTTAAATTTATTTACATTAATTCTGTATAGACCAACATTACATAGTAATTAGGCTAAAATAATAATACGGTGTTGTAATATTTATCTCAAGACTATATGTACATATAATTAGTATAAATAATTCCTCTATCCATCGGTTCCTCCAAATAAAAGGATGAACAAATTCATACTAGTGGATTTCAGTTATATTTTTGACACAGAACTCGAAAATTGAAAAAGTAAATGTTGAAATAAGGATATGCTATTAGTCGAATGTTTTCTGAATACAGTAAACGGCTTTTAGGGACTCTCTTTGTGGTCTACTCAGTTGATTAATGCTCCTTCTTAACAAAATTAATACCAATATCATTGTAATAATACCTGTTAATAAATAAAAATATATATGTTTATAATAAAATAATGTACAAAATAAGACAAGTTAATAAAATATCATATGTGATAACTTCAATATGAAATAATATATATAACATTCGATTTAAGTGACTTAATTTATTGTATGGGCGTACTGACGCAATGCGACAAACGTTATCGATAATAATTCAACGTGGATAAGTTCGCATCACTATGAAATACGTAGGTTTGGTGGTTCGGGCGAAACGGAACGAGATTATTCTTCAAGCGACCACGGAAGTACGTGGTGCGTGCGGAGCAGAAAATTGTTTAGTGTTAAGTAATTTATTAAGTTCTAAAACAAGAAAATGAGGGAAATCGTTCATATTCAAGCTGGACAGTGTGGCAACCAGATTGGTGCTAAGGTATGTAGTATTGATTTTGTTTTTTTCTATTGTTAAATTTGATTTTAGAACATGTCTGAGCGGCCGGCATTTTGTGACGCATCGCTACTTCAGCGAAAATTGCTCACTGTTAGCAATTTTAGATGTAATTTTTTCTGCGAACAACGCTTTGTTCGACTTTTTACTGTAATAGGCGTGTACATAACTGTCTTTGTCTTTATTAGGTGGTGGGTGTGGTCATTTTTATTCCGGTCGTTAAGTCGACCTTCATTTTGGCTTTATGTATGATTTCCTTTAGTCTCTCGTCCGCCGATAAGAGAAATTTGGAATTGTTAAAAATATGACTATTGCCCTCCCCGCCTACCTACTTTCTCGTATTGATCGGCGAGTAGCGCCGCGAAACTTCCACGTGTTATATCGCCATTTGCTTATTCCAGTATAATTAATTCACCGTAACTACTTTTTAAATCTCATCTTAAAAACGTAATATATATTTTAGGCACTGTACATGTTTTATTAGTTGGTATTATAATACATTTAAGATTCGTGCGAGAACAAAGGACTACTTTCTAATTTGATCGCATATTGGTATTTACGACGCTCGTTATTTACTCAAAATTAGTTTAAATTCCATTTTATGATCTCAAAATTCCTAAATATTCTTCAGTATACTTATTTGAAGCATAAAAAATATAATTTAAGTGTACGTAGTTATTGTTTTGTTAATATTCCCGCCGTTACAATGGGAACGTTTGAATTTAAACTTCGTTCAAGGCTACACAGGCGTCCCTTGATAAGGGCCAACCAATCATGGAGCGAGTTTTGTAACGTTCGTATTTGAAAAAATATCCGTTAAATATCGGAACAGATGTTACTTGTGTTGTGTAATAGGTTTATTTAAATTCAATAAGTACTTAGAGTTGCCATGTAAAAAACTACTAATTATGTAGTAAATTAATGCATAATAAAATATTTACTGTATTATTATATTCTGCGATCTTACTTTGAATTTACAGCAAATGCTTTAAAGAAATGATTTATACATTGACACGGTAAAATAACAGTAAAAAATACCTATTAGTTAAACGAATTACTGTTACAGTCGTCTCGGTGTGCCGTAGCCTACTTCATTTTTATGTAATTACCTACTTTGGTTTAATAATTGTGTGAATGAAAATGCAGATTCTTGCTTTCCTTTTTTGTGGGCTATACTTACTGTACCTACTTACCAATGGTAGTTTCTAGAAAGAATGTAAACTTTTTTGTAATAACGAGTACTTGACAATGTAGGTACAAATGGTAGTTTCTAGAAAGAATGCAAACTTTTTTTTAATATCGAGTACTTGACAATGTAGGTTATATTCTAGAAAGAATGTAAACTTTTTTGTAATTCCATTATATTGATATTTTTTTTTACATCGCCAGTGTTGCCAAAAATAAGTAGGTAGGTATATTATTAAGTTTTCTTTGTCACCATTGCGGCGTATCTTTGTGTATAGAAATTTCATTTAGAAGAAAATAACTTTTTTTTAATTCATAATAATAATAATCTCAGGACAATTCACACAGCGACATCTAGTCTCAAGTTAAGCTATCTAAAGCTTGTGTTACGGGTACTAGATAACTGATACAAGTACATAGAATTTTTATTTCGTAAATACATACATATTATATGTACATAGAAAACACAGACCGATACAAACAATCGTACTCATGAATACAAATGTTTGTGCCGTGCGAGGAACCGAACCCGCGACCATCAGACGTAAAGCGGTGTGCCAGACCGCTAGACCACTGAGGTCGTCACACAAAATGGAAAGGTGCACTTAACTTTTTTTTTTATAGCGACAAACTTAAACTATATCGCTAAAAAGAAATGTGAGTGGTAGAAAGTTAAACTTTGGGCGTGTATTTTTAATGTTAAAAAAAATAACATATTATAGGGGTGTGCTACCCTTATCTCTTAAGAGTATAAAAATAGAGAAAAATTAGGAGTGTATGTATTTTTTAAAATTGTCCCAATTTTTTTTTTTGTTAATTTCTTAGGGGTATAAAAAGTAGATAACCTATTCTCAGAACTACCGAGTATACATATAATTTTTTTTTTTAATAGATTAAGCCGTTTTGGAGAAGTATAGCAACTAACACTCATATTCTCTATATTCGATAAGTAGTTTCTATTTTTTATTTAACATAGATAAAAAAAAAACTCAACCTATTTTAAAACTATAATAAAAAAATTGATGCTTATAATATTCTCGTGCGAAATTGGGATGCGGTCATAGATAACTTTATTACCGTGTTTTTTTTTATTATTTTATAAAACAGCAAAGAGCAATAAACTAATGATGATAAACTAATATGAATTTTAAAAGTATATATACTTTATTTTATATAGCTAGACTCCGGTGGTCTAGCTGTTTAACAGTCTCTACTTCCTATAGTTTGGGTTCGATTCCCTGAAAGTTTATTTTATACTAGCTGCACCCTGACTTCGCGTGCAATTTAACTTTATTTTTCTAAAATAAAAGTAGCCTAAGTTACTCCTTATATCAGCTACCAACTAAAAAAAGTATCATTTTAGCCGGTTATGAACGTAATTTTTTTTATATTCTCCAAATTTATTTATATTTATAGTGTGTGTCTGGTTGTAATATTGAAATAAGTTTTTTCTACATGCATATAAATATAAATACGGGACATACACGAAAAAGATTTTTTTTACAATTTATATCTTTGTTACGGCTAATCTTTGAAATGGCTGGACCGAATTTGACGGAACTTTTTTTGGCAGGTATCTAATCTAATAAGGAGTAACATGGCTACCGAATTTGACGGAACTTTTTTTGGCAGGTAACTGAACTAATAAGTAGTAACTTAGGCTACTTATATTTTAAGTTAAAGTTAAGGTATAATGATAAATGTCATGCAAGTGTGATGCAGAGGAAGTTGAGCGGGTCAGCTGGTAATGCAATATTTATTTAACTGTTCAAATAATGTAGATTGGTGATAATATACTTTTGATAGGAACCCTCTTATATGATAAACGAATGAATTATATATTGAATATTATTGGCTGGTGATAACATATCAGTAAGTAGTAGCACGGAATTGGGTAATCAAAAGGAAATATCAACTTCAAGTGGCTCTTGATGAGCATTGTAAACATGTACATTTATTTGAAAAGAATACGAGCTGTTTCTTGTCGCTTCTCATCTCGGAAATCATTCCGAACTGACGGTAGATTTGACATATCATAAGTCTGTAATGAGTTTGTCAGCTCTTCTCATCTCGAAATCATTCCGAACTGACGGTAGATTTGACATATCATAAGTCTGTAATGAGTTTCTTGTCAGTTCTACTCATCTCGAAATCATTCCGAACTGACGGTAGATTTGACATATCATAAGTCTGTAATGAGTTTCTTGTCAGTTCTACTCATCTCGAAATCATTCCGAACTGACGGTAGATTTGACATATCATAAGTCTGTAATGAGTTTCTTGTCAGTTCTACTCATCTCGAAATCACTTCGAATTGACGGTATATTTGACATATCATAAGTCTGTAATGAGTTTCTCGACAGTTCTTCTCATCTTGAAATTACTTCGAATTGACGGTAGATTTAGACATATCATAAGTCCATAAGTCTGTAATGAGTTTCTTGTCAGTTCTTCTCATCTCGAAATCACTACGAATTGACGGTAGATTTAGACATATCATAAGTCTGTAACAGGGATGCTAGGGAGTTCCGTAACCGTAACCGAAACTATCGGATATCCGTTAAAAAAATATCGTAACCGAATCCGAAATAAGTTTCGGATGATATCGGATAGGGGCGGAGCCTAATTGAGACATGTTATGCAACCATTTTATTAGCTACTAGCTGCACTCCGGTCGTCCGAATTGACTCAATTTACTCATTACATCAGCTACCTGCCAATAAAAGTCCCGTCAAAATCGGTCCCACCATTTCAGAGATTAGCCGGAACAAACAGACAGACAAAATTTGTATAAAATGTTATTTTGGTGTATGTACCGTATTTATATTCATATGCATGTAGTAAAAAACAGTTATTTCAATATTACAAACAGACACTAATTTTATTTATATGTATAACACTTATACTAACAATACCATCATTTTGTCAGACCATAAACAAACTAGTTACGTGCCACGATTAGTAATTTATGACTTAAACTATGCCAATACAATATGGCGTCTACATTCAGGAATCAATAAGATAGCACTTGCGTCACCTCACGCAAAAGGAAAGACAATAAGCCTTATAAAGTTACAATTCAATTTGTCTATGGTTTAATTTATTCTATAGTCAAAAACAGATCGGCATGACCAATTTCCTCCCTATCCAAAACTTCTAAGATGGTTAAGAAAGAATAACTCATGCGTCATACTCGTGAACGTGTAGGGACTGGTCTGCTCTAGTCACTAAGACTGATATAGTCTTATTGTATATTTAATATTTTGATGAATTAGTGGTTTGTTTGTACAACAGTACAACAAAAGAATACGAGCTGAGTTTCTTGTCAGTTCTTCTCATCTCAAAGTCATTCCGAACTGACGGTAGATTTGATATATCATAAGTCTGTTATAGACCTACATGAATAAAGATATTTTGAATTTGAATTTGTGTTCACACATTTAACCTTAATAATGTAAAGTTACAATTTACATAAAAGAGCAACAGGCAAGTTTCTTGCTAGTTCTTCTTGTGATGAGACAACATTTCTAATAATACCTCTTTCATTCAAAAGAAAAAACATCGAAAGAACATGATCCAAAATGGACGCCGTTTTTGATATCTGTAAAATTTGTAATCTGTACTGTGAAAGCCAGAAGTAACTTACATTCACACATTAAGACTTAAAAATGCAAGTTACAACTATAAAAAAGAACAACACGTAAGTTTCTTGCTTGTGATCAGGCAGCTCTTCCTACTAATGATACCTTTGTTCATTTAGAGGAAAAAAAAATCTTATGATCATACAGCTTTCGTAATTT